GCTGGGGGGTCTAGGGGTAGGGTCTGCTGGGGAGGCATCCTCTGTCCCCCACCTTAGGAGCAGCCACAGCGATCCACCACCATGCCAGGGATCTTGCCGTAGATAATCTGCTGCTTGTCGTTGAAGTAGAGCATGTTGATTGGGGACATCTTGGTGGGGGTACAGCAGGGCCCAGCAGAGCCTCTTGGGTTAGCCTGTTGCACCAAGTGGGTGTGTGGATACTTTTGCATGAACATGTACTCGCACTGGCCGGAGCAGTAGTTGGCCTTGTAGCGTTTAGGTGCGATGATCCAGTCCCAGCCAAAAGCCTCAAAGTCCACAGTGAGGGGGTATCGGCAGCAGCGGGACTCACTTGAGTGCTCATCGCAGTCCAGGCCCAGGTTCCGCCGGGACCGTTTTGTGTTCTCTAGGACTCGAAGCTCCATGAAAGGATGCTGGGGGTGAGGGAGAAGAGAAATAGATGTGATAGAGCCTTGCAGAGCTCTTACTCCCTGTTTCTTCTCACCTGCCCCTCAACAGGGGCATCAGAACAGAGACTATTGATTTCTCAGCTTTTCCAACGCTCCCATCCCCAGCCCGCCTTTTACCCACTTTTCTTGCCAGCTAGCCACCTCTCCCTCAACTCACCTTCCCCAATTCTCTCTCTTCTGGCAACCTGATCCTCATCAGCCCCTTGGCCCAAGGTCTCAACAACAGCCCATCTTTGTTGTCCCATGAATCTATTTACCCAAATAGATTTACTTCACCCCAAATCCAGTTTTCAACTGTTACCCCCATTACCTGAAAAGTGATAGCACCCCATTACCACCACCTAACTCTCCTCTAGAATCAGCTCCGGGCCCTAGAAAAATAATGCTGGTCCCTAACCCACTTTACGTTTCTGGTCTACCATTTACAACACCCCACCTCCTCAGGGCCAGGTTATACATATCTGCCAATATCTCAGGCTCCCTGCTCACCAGCCCCTCGGCTCCCGGCCCCAGGGAGGTGACAGCCAGGTCTGTGCCACTGGGATCAAAGGCGTTGATCTCGATGCCCCAGTTGCTCTGTGGCTGGCGGAACCAGCTATGTAGTACTTGCTTGAAGTCGATGCTTTGCCAGTGGCCGGAACGTGAGTGCAGGTCAATTTTGAGCGAGCGGATACGGATGTGACGCCGGCCTCCGCCCCCTCCCCCTGCGGTCCCTTCCCCAGTTAGGGGTTTCAGTCGCAAGATCTGCAGGTAGACTGTGGCTGGACGGGGCACAGGCCGGAGATAAACCCACAGCTGGGCCTTCAGTACCTTTGTGAACATCACCTTGGGGCTGAAGTGGAAATGGCAGCAGAGAGGGCTGCCATCTGTCTGCACCGCAGGGTCGGCTGATAAGAGAGAAGGGGGCACAGTATCAGCAAGGGGTGTGTGTGGAGGGGGACACTGGCAACTCAGACTCCTCAGCCTGTGCTTTCCAGTTCTCTACCCTTCTTCCCTGCCTGTCTTCTTGACTACCGTGTTACGGGTACCTAGAACGGCACCCCTGCTCTCCCTGTAAGGGATCAGGCCTTACTGATCTACACCCCTTCCTTAATCTGTCTGCCCTAATGCAGAGGTTCCTCTCTACCAGATAACCTGCAAAGATAGTTGTTAGGGAATTCTTCTACCTGCAGTCTTCCCTTCCTCCAACTTTCCCTAGTATGTGGGGCTCCAACTTTTCCTGAACCTTTTATGCTCTCCATAAAAGCCAAAGCTCATATCACACCTGCTGTCCTCAGGTCACCTTGCCCCATTTCTGCTCTGTTTTGTCTGGTGGCCAGGTGGAGCCCGGCACACCCCCCGAAACAGATGGCCTCAGGGAATGGATAACCCAGGGTCCAGATAGGGAGCGTGGGCTAAATTTATTCCAAGAAGTAAACCAGAATTCAAATCTAGGCTTCTTCCATCATTCCCACCAGAAATAACACACCCAAAAGAATGGAACTACTCAAAACACTCCCCATGCGTCTGACTGCTCAGTCCCTTGACCCTGAGAAAAGTTCCCTCAGCTGCTGCTTCGTCATCACCATTAATGCCTCCACTTTTAAGAAAGGGAAGAACTACCTCCGTGTATTTTTTCTCCTACTTTCCAAAGCATCAGAAACAGTATTCAGCACATCAGATCAACTTTAATCAGTCTTCTCTCCCCTAAGCTTCCTTTGGTTTCTCAGTCCAGTGCCAATAAGTCTTTACAAAGGTTTACCATCCCAACTTTACATTTTGGCCAATTTCCCCTTGTTTTGGATCGTAAACTGACCCTTCCTGAGTTTAAAGGATGATTCTCAATATCTGCCTTTGCTTCCATTTCATCTCCTCTCAGTTCCCCTTTCTAATCTTGTAAATCAGTTGGGAGTGCCCTAAATCATGTTTCTATTGGATATTAATATCCATTCTCACTCTAAATAGCCTGAGGAAGAGTCAGGAATGAGCTTCCAGAGCCATGTAAGGATGATCAGGAAGTCCAAGCCCTTATGTATCATGCCCAGGTCTGCATAATCATGGAGAATTTATCATCTGTTGTTTCATCAGCACTCCCCCACCCACACCCTAGGAGAAGGAGGATACTTCAAGTGACATGGGGAGGAGTACTTAAAGATCTTCACATATTTGGGGCACAAGACACAAAGTTCCTTTGCAGCTTTCCCTTGGTTCTTTTCCAAAGTCCCAGGGCACTGGTAGTCCAGTTATCCTCCAGCTGGAGCTTCAGTGATAGTGCGGTGGGGTAGGGTTTGGGGAGTGGAGATTGGGGATTAGGAGAGTCCCTGGGGCAGGGTAGCTGCTGGTGAGATGGAGAGTGGCAAGCAACAATCCAAATAGCATGCTACGCCTAATTTCAGTATAGGGGTTGTTTTATTTCCCTGCCTGTCTTCACCATTAGGTACTAATCTCCATGAGAGCAGACACTGTGTCAATGCCGTTTCTGTTTTGCTCACCATTGTAGCATTATTGCCTCCCATAGTACCCGGGCAGTGTTCAGTAAGTGCATGCTGAATGAACTCCCAATCTTAAATTATATAGGCAAGTGCCTGAAAGTTCTTCCTGGCATCTAAACACTGTCCTTTGACTACAGTTGAAGTGGGTTTAATCACTGCCTGACTCATTAACCAGTATCTGACATTATTCACCAAGCTTCTCAGTGATACCGATAATTATCCTTGCTTCATAGGAGTGCTGAGCATTAAATAAAGAATGTGAAAATAGCAGTAGTTTCTCAGTTGGTTTATGGCTAGTTTTCTAAACTCTATAAACATATGTCCCTATGTAAGTTGACCCAAGGCTTAGTAATGGGGGACTGGGCTCCAGGGCCCCATCTCTCTAAGTGTTTGGCTCCTTCAGGCAGAGTCCCCCATCCTCACACCCGGGAATCACCATACACTTCCCCCCCCACTGGATATGAGGACAGTTGGTATCACAAGGGGACAGGATGAAGACATTTGGAGAAAGAAAAGGGAAAGGAGAAGAAACAGGGGACTGGAGATGGTGAGGGAGATAAGAATAGAGGAGAGACAGAGATGAAGGCATGTTAGAAGAGACTGGCAGAGAAATGGAGCAAGGAAGGAAGAGAGTGGAAGATCATGGTAGGGGGAGGAGAAACAGGTTTGGGAGCTGGAGAACACTGGGAGAGGAGGAGGGATGCAAAAGGAGCGAGTGGGGGTGAAGAAGCGAAAGGAGGCAAGGAGCTAAGACCAGTGGGGTAGAGAGAAGGGAGGGAAGGAAACGGAGGAGGAACAAAGAAGCAGGTAGAGCCACAGAGGGAAACACGGGGCTTGAGAGAGTCCCCAACACACACACAGGCCCAGCTCCCAAAGGGAGGGGAAGGAGCCACATCTGTGTTGGATTGATCCGGCTTGGTGGCAGGCAGCAGGTCAGGTTTAGTAGTCGGCTCTGTTCTGGAGAGAGGTCATTGCACTATTTTCAGCAAAAGCCCAACCCCCTCTCAGCTCACCACCTCCTCCTCTTCCCTCACGCCCCACTCCCAAACACCAAACACACTTTCCTTACCCCGGCTGGAAGGCCTAGGGGCAGGAGGTTGGACAGAGAGGGCAGGGGCCTCTTGGTGTAGGGAGGAGAGAGAGAAACTGAGGGGCTGGGCTTGGCTCCCAGAAGGGCAAGGGGGCTGGGTTCCCAGGATGAAGGCTGTGATGGGAGAGCCTGAGAGGGTGGAGGAACTAGGGCAGGCACTGCAGCCTAGGAGAGGTGGGGGCTGGGGTCCAGGGTTGAGGGCTGGGGGAGGGGAGGAAGGGGGAGGGGAGCAGAGGCCATCGCTGCTGACAAACACCTCCCCCGATTAGCAGAGCACAAGTCTCTTATTAAAGCGGGTCCCTGGGGATTAGACTATAAAAGTCTCTTTTTCCTTTTCCCCTCTCTCCCTCCCCGCCCCTCGGCTCCCCCTCCCTCCCTTAAGAGCTCAGCTTGGCTCTTAAAGGGGACGTACAATACCTGGATGGAGACCCAGTTCCCTAGTTATCCAAGTCCCGGGGTGGCAGGAGGGTAGAAGCCGAGGTGGGACCCCACCTGCTGGTGTCCTTCCCCGTCCTCCCCTGCCCCTGAGTCTAACCGGCATTTCCCAAACTGTGTGTGCAGTGTCTGTTCACTTCCTGCATCCCCATTACCAGAGCTAACTCTGGGCTCAGGCCTATTGGTTAACAGATGCTAGGGATAGAATGAGCAAGGGAAGTCCTCAGCTCCATCACTCATTCTGGAAATCCTCACACACTGCACCACACAGACCAAAGTATCTTTTTCCTCTGCACCCTTCACCTTCTTCCAGCAAACTCTTTTCAGAATCCCTCTACCACTCTCTGTTTCTAACTCTGTTGGTATCCCCGCCCCCACCCCTGCCCTCAGCCAGTCTCAGGCTGACCCTAGCTTCTATAAAACAGAAGCCTTAAGAGCAGAAGGGAGACTGAGGAACTCAAGACCAGATCCTAGGCCTTCCCACCTCCCACCCCAGGTTAGTTTCCTAGTCCTCCCGAGAGTTCTTTACAGCCCTGACCGGTACTGTGGAGTTAGGGTCACAGAAAAACTGGTGGCAGTGTGAGGCACTCAGCCTCCCGGATGCATGCCTGGGTTCCTGTGCCTCTCCCTGGGGGGCGGGCCACTAGGACTCCCCTCAGCCCCCAGCTTTTTATGACCCATCTGCCAATAAACCGGTCTCCCCCTCTTCTGTTCAGAGCCATAAAACCAAACAGTTGTGGGGTGGGGGGCGACTTGCCAAACCACTAGGGCATGAGGGAGGGCCTGGCTCCCTAGAGTTGCTGGGATGGGGGAGACCTCAGTGGGGGAGGGGAAAAGGGAGTCATCTGAACTTAGGGGGAGCTGGGGGTTTTGCGGGGGGGACAGTGTTGGCCTGGATTTTCCAGGCCATAAAATTTCAAAGCAGCTCAAGTCTATTAACATGTTCATCTTCCGTTTGGCTAGGGACTAGGATGCCTGGGTCCCCTCCTTCCCACACCCACACCCCCATCTATTGCTTTCTTTATCCCCCTAGGTCTTCCTCTCTCTCCTCAAGTCTGGCTGTGCGGCTAAGGGCACGTGAACATGCGTTACAACACTAAGGTTTGAGCTGCCAAATGGGTGCCCTAAGCCCCAGCGCAATGGAGGTGAGTTCTCTGAGCTCGGTTAGTACCAAGAAGGCACAGCTTTCCCGGCCCCTTGGGAGACCTGGTGTCAGAAGGGCTTCCGATGGGACGGGTGCCGGCTGGGCTGACGGGAGAGATACAGGGCTCTGGGATCTCATTCCTGGGAGAAGGAGAGGAGCACTAGGTTTTCTGCAGCCCGGGGGGCGCGTTGCAAAGCCCAAGGTGGAAGGGGTGCTGAGTTGGTGCCAGGGCCATTGGGAGGCGGAGAGCACGGCAGCCCGGCTGGGGCTGCGGGGGTTCCGAAGCCTCCCGCTTCTGTTCTTCAGCCTCTCCACCAGGGCCCTTCAGGACTGAGTTGCTGTCCCTTGCCCTCTGCTGCAGGGGGACCCCAGCTTCCCCGAAACCCCCACCACCACCACCACACGCACACACACACACAGGGTGGGAAGCGGTATCTCGCAACCCTTTCCGTTTGCCCCCTCACCTCCGGGAGCGGGGCGTGCACACAACTCCGCAGCCCATCTCCACAGCTCGAAAAACTTGTGGAGCAGCCCCCGCCCCCCAATCCATCAAGTTTTCGCAGAAAAGGCTTTTCGGCCGGAGCAACCGGGAGCTCCCCGCTTTGGAGCGGGAGCCACTCACTTTCCCGGAGCCGGAGTGGGAGCCAGCACCCCACCGCTCATGCCCCGCCTCCCACTTACTCTCCTGGGCCATGCTAATGACAGTCTCGGTGGTGGCGTGGTACTCGTCCTCCTCCAGGAAGTCCTCGGGCTGCAGAGCGTCGCCCTGGAAGTCGTGCAGGTCCAGGATCTGCTGCAGCGGCGGCGCCTTGGGCAGCAGCTGCTTCACCACCTCGCGGCTGATGTTGGGCGCCTCCTTGAGCCGCAGTTTGCTCAAGATCTGCGACTTGATGCTCTCCAGGCGCAGCTCGCGGCTGTGCTGCCGCCAGACGCACACGGGGCAGCCGTCGGGCTCGGGCGCCACGGACGGGGCCGGCCGGCTCGAGCGCTCCCCCCCGGCCCCCGCCGCCGCCGCCGCCGCCGCCGCCGCCGCGGGGCCCTCGGCCGCCACCCCCCGGGGCCGCAGCTCCAGGGCGAGGAGCAGGAAGCCCAGCAGCAGCGGGGCCGCGAGCACCATGCTGGAGGGGAGGGGTGGGAGGACTGGGGGGCGGGGACGCCGGAGTCCCGCGGGGAGGGGGCGGAGGGAGGGTGGGCGAAGGCAGCACCGTGATGCACGAAGGCTTCGTCAACTTCAACGCGGGCACCGAAGGCCCGGGCATGATCGAAGGTCGCGTATCGGCGGGGGGCGGCGGGCGCGGGGGCGGGGCGGGCGGGCGGCCGGGGCGGGCGGCTGGGGGGGCCCGAGCCCGGGCCAGGCCCTTTATAGCCCCGGCCCCCGTGTCGTCAGCGGCCGCGATTGGCTGCGGAGCCAACAAAAGAGGCAGCGCTGTCATCCGAGGCGAGAGAGGGAGCCGGAGAGAGCCGAGGAAAAGAGAGAGAGGGAGGGAGCGAGGGCTCAGAGAGACACGGAGAGACAGAGATATTGGGGTGGGGGAGAGGAAAGGAGAGATAGAGAAAGTCAGAGTAAGAGAGACCAAGGAGAGACTGAGAGATAAAGGGGGGAAGACACAGACCAGAGGCACAGAGATAGAGCGGGAGGAAGAGGAGGGAGAGACAAAGGGGGGAGGGGGAGAGGGTCAGAGGGGGGAAGACACAGAGAGGAGAGACTTAACTAGAGACAGAGGAGGAAAGTGACAGGCATAACTAGTGTGGGAGTCACGAGACAAAGATAGGGGAGAGAGACTAGAGGGAGGAGAGAGGGTAATGGCTAGACAGGGGGAGAGCTGGAGGTCTACAGACCCAGACCACAGGAGGTCAGGGGTGCAGAGAGATGGGATCAGGGCAGAGGAGCTGATGGGACGGAGACCAGAACCCTGGGAATGAGAGAGGGAGAGAAATCAGGAGGGGGAGGTGGGGGAAGCCCAGAGACTGGGCAGTACCAAGGGAGCCCCTTGGTAGACACAGAGAAGGCAGACACAGAGGATCAGGGGAAGGCAGAGATGGCAAGACAGAGACTCCTGAGGGAAGAGACAGAGACAGCCCAGCGATGAGAGTCAGCGTTGGTGGGAGCATTGAGAGCCCAAGGGGGAGGAGGTGAATTTGAGCCCAGAGGAGCCCCAGCTATCAGAAGCAGCCCAGTACCAGAGGTGGGGAGGGTGTGGAGGGAAGCATCAGGCTGGGCTCATCAAGGGGATCAAGAAGCAAGAGATGGACGTGGGGGTTAGTGAGGAAGAAGAGGAGGAGAAGAGACCAGGGACAACCTGAGAAGGTGGAGAGCTGGTGGGAAGTCTTGAGACCAGAGGAAGACTTAGAGCTGGAAAGAACGTGTACTTGAAACTGAGGGTTGATAAGGGGATAAGGGAGTCAGTAGGCTGGAAAAGACAGGAACTGGGGACCACTAGGGGAGGAGTGGGAGGAAACAGGGCCAGAAACCACTGTGCTTGCAGAGGAATCTGGACCTCTGGATTTTTGGGTCTGCGGGGTCTTGGAAGTCTGAGAAGGGGCTTGTAGTTGCAGGGGTGAGGATGAGAGAGAGGTCTGCCTTCAGATGCCTGAGTTGGAGAAAGTAAGTCCCAAGGGGAGAAACCCAGATGTAGGACCAGCCCTAGTCTCCAGATGTAACCCTGGGTACAGCCAGAGGGCAGAGAATAAGAGTGCCAAGGTATTAAATGCTCCTGAAGTGCTCAACTTCTGGTTCTGGATGCCTCTTCCTAGACCTCAGTTTCTTCAGGCTGATTTCTTGAGTCTAAAGCCCTAGAGGTCAATAGAAAAATAACCAGTAGATTGAAAATATTTGAGGGGGTCAGATCAGATCTTGCTTGCTTCCTGGCACACACAATGTTTACTGAATACGTGGATGAACATTATTGGGCTTCTCAGGCAGAACAGAGAGACATTGGTTTCCGCTTTGCATTAGATGGAGCACTGGGTGTAAGGACAGAGTTGGTCTGGGGAGCTAGAGTGGAATGTTAGAAACTGGGGGTCCAGGTGTGAAGGAAGAAGGTTGGGTAGGGATGAGGAGGACCAAGCTGGGGAGCTTTGAAGAGATGATCCATTCGATGGAGAGCAGGAACTAAGACTGCAGCAGAATTTAAAAAAGCAAAACAAAAACAAAAAACTTAGCTGGTTCCCTCCAAGACACAAGCGTCTCAACATTTCATCAAGTTTTCTCAACTGGCTGTGAGGATTACACAACAATCAATTAATAGTGGCCTTCATGGGCTGCTTTTTCATGATTATTTGCTTCCCTTTCTGATTTCCCAGAGCAGTGATTACCTTCACCACATATTCTGGCATATCCCGTTCTCCAAAATGTTTCTCTGATGTCATTTCCTCAGCAAAATTGCAAACTCCTTGAGAGCAGAGGTGGTGTCACCTCTTTCTCCCTCAGAGGAGGTGGCCCAGCTTTCACTTCCCTACCAAACATGTAGCTAGTGGCAGGTCTATGAAAGATGCAAAGATAAATAAGACTTGGCCCCCTTTTTCAGGGGCCGGATGCCTCCTTGATATCACCATCTGGACACACCCTCAAATATCATAGATTAAATATGGTAAACAGAGAACTTCTCTCCCCTGAACTGTGCCCCCATCCTGCTCTGTTTCGTTTTAGTGAATGACAATTACCCAGGTCAAAAACCTGGATGTAGCCTTCACCCTCTTTCTCTTGATTATTTCCGAATCTTTGCACAAGTTGTTTCCTCTTCTTGAACAACTCCCCTTCCTACCTCCACTCCCTCCCTCCCCTGCCAATTTACTGTTTCTTCAGGTCTCAGTATAGATGAGATTCTGGACATGTCTTCCAGGAGTCCATTCCTGACTCCCAAGACTAGAGTAGATGCTACTCCTAGCTATACCTGCACCATCCTGTGTGTCACAGAGGTTAATCACATAGCTTCTAGACTCAAACTAGGCTGCCTGGGATCAAGCCCCAGCTCTCCCCCTTTTCTGGCTCTGTGAACTTGGCTCTATGCCTCAGATTCCTCACCTGTAAGGTGGAGATAACAATACTGTACCTCTTTCATAAAGTTATGAAGATGAACTGCCTGACACACAGTTCTAAATGAGATAATTAGTCATTACTACTACCTAACTTATCAGCCTCACACTGTGAGACCCAAGAGAGCGGGAGCTTTTTTCACCAAAGTATTCCTTAACGGCTTTGAATAAAGAATGAATGAACCCTGCTCACTGGCTCTGGTCAGAGCCAGGTTAGGGAAAG